TTGCATTGTAAAATTCCTTTACCCTGTAATACAGCACAGTCAAGAGAGAAACCCAAGGAGGCAAATATCACGAGAGGCTGTCTTGGAGTTCTGCCTGATATACCTGCTTATAATTACACTTCACAAATATTTGGACTATTCCTCTATACTATTCAGGTCAGGTTCATTGCTGTAATAAAAAAAAGTTCTATCTCTGTGGCCTAGTACAATTCAGGTTTCCTTCCTTCTCATATCACAATTGTTCTATGTCAGAAGAGGCTCTATAGATATTGTGTTCTAGAAATCAGGTTCTTCAGCATCAGCCCAGAGTCTTCCATTGCATCGTCCACATTCCACAGACAGATGAGAAAACAAAGAATGCTGGAAGATTTTTAAGGGAATTTGTGATATGGCACAGGCATGATATTGGTCTATATTACTTCTACCCACGTTCCTTTGACCAGGACTAGTCACGTAATTGCTATGATTTGCAAGAGATTCTGGGAACTGCAAATTCTTCAGCATGAGGAAAAGAGCAATTTTGAAGACTAGTCCTGACTCTGCTCAACTTCTCAATTCTGTGAAGCCTCTGATGGGGCCTAGCATGCTTCCTGGGTTCCAGAAGCCAAATAATTACTTTTCTCTGATGAAACTCTATCTCCCTCATTTCCCCAAAATAGGATTATCTTGGATTATTTAGTTGCAACATACAACATTTTTAAAAGATGAGATTGCCAAGATAGCTCTCTACCAGTTCTAACGGCATCCTTTTAACAACTTCAGGTTCCAAATATCAAGCATTAGATGCATAAAAACATGCAAACTTCATTCTCATCACAAGTGGAAGTTTGTGTTTAAGGTGATGAATCTATTAGGTACTGAGAATTTTTTAATTTATTTACCTATTTCTATTTTATATATATGAGTGTTCTGCCCACATGTGTATGTCAACTGTGCATGCAGTGCCTTTGGAAGCCAGAAGAGGGTGTTGGATCCCTTGAAACTGGAGTTATGGATGGTTGTTAGCCACCATGTGGTGCTGGGAATAGAACCTGGGTCCTCTTCAAGAGTAGCCAGTGCTCTTAACCACTGAGCAATCTCTCCATCCCTGAGATGTTTTAAATTGTGGTTTAAAGAGCAATGTGAAAGTGAGGGACACACACCACATCCACTTGTTTTAAATACCTAAGCCAGATTCATGTCCTCTATTCTCAAGCAAGTTCCTGGTCATCTTCAAAAATTCCTTAAGTCATATTCTCTTCAAAAGCTTTCTGGTATGATTGGGTTTTCTCTCTGGAACTGCAAGAAAACACCTTGGTATTTTGGGACAGAAAATTCCTGTGCTGGGCAAAGAGAAAAAAACATTTTAATTCTAAGAATGATCTATGAGTAGTTTTAAATCTCATCTTGATAATGAAAATTATCCTATATTGTTACCTGTTTCCTCCTTTAAAAGATGCTGGAAAGTGGGGAGTACTAAAAGACTCTAGAATCCCTGGAAATGTCCAAGACTTTATACATCCAAGGTTATAAATGCCTCAAGTGTCCACATTCATAAGGATTATGTGGGCTGTTATTTATGTAAACATTTTCCATATTGATATTCATTGATTTCCCACTTACTTTTCCTATTTCAATTTTCTGTTCAAAACTTAATTCAGCAATTTTGACATATTTAGCCAGTTCCCAAAACCTTGACTGGATTTTTAAATCAATCATACCCCATTGACACAGAATGAAGCAAGAGCAGTCTGGGGCCACCAATCATTTCCAAGTCTCTTCAGGGATGTAAATGCGAGGTCGGAGATGTGAAGAGGAATAAAGCGGTTCCTTCATGGAAAGAGGCTTTTTATTGTTGTTCAAAAGCTTCATCCTCTATTAACTAAAATAAATTAATAAAATAAAATAAACTTCAAAGTAGACACATTGGACATGTTGAGTTTAAACTCAGGGTTTTTTAAATTTTTTATTTATTATTTTAATTTCATGTATATGAGACTATTGCCTACATGTATGTAAGTGCACCCATGTCATACAATGCCCGCAGAGGTCAGAGGTTGGAGTCCAATCCCCTGGAGCTGGAGTTACAGACAGTTGTTAGCCATCACATGGGTGCTGGGATTCAAACCCAGGTCCTCTGCAAGAACAGCCAGTACTCTTAACCGCTGAGCCATCTCTCCAATCCCAATTTAAACTCAGTTTTAAGCCACACATCTACAATCTCTTCAGTGCCTCTGAGCTCACAATCCAGAAATTTGGGGGAGTTGATCTAGAAATAAAAGTCTCAAAGGTACTTTCTCTGCCAGTTAGCAACACTTTCTATATGTTCCTTGTAAACTGTTGTTCAGTCTTTATACCCAACTAATCTAGCCCATTAAGTATAGAACAGCAGATAAATGAAAGCTCAAGCATAATCTAGATTCTCACATATACTAGGTACACACACACACACACACACACACACACACACACACACACACCACATCTCTTGAAAACTGAATTGTCTTGTTTTTTTAATTATGTGTTTGGGTATGGGTATGTACACATGTGTGCACGTGCTAGATATATAGACAGTTGTGAGCTGTCCATCATGGGTGCTGGGAATTGAAGTGTCCTCTACAAGAGGAGTATGTGCTCTTAACCACTGAACCATTTCTCTAGTCTCTTACACACTCTAAATCTTAAAGAAGGTAAAAATACAATGGCTGGCCCTTCACTAAGGATGACTCGCACTGAATATTTTTGCAATATGCCCAGTTTACAAGCTGCATGGTTTTATTAATGCTAGTTTGGTTTAAAAATCAATTACTTTGGGCTGCCATAGTCTATGACTTACCATATATATGGTACATTTATATGTATGAAACAGACGTTCTGACCTAACAAGCCAGAAAATTATTCAACTCTCCTCTTGCCATTTTTTTTCTGAATGCAGGAAACTCTGCTTGAAACTTGTAGTGAAAAACTGTAAAGTCAATAAGCAGGTTGGTTTCTGTTATTACTGATGAAAAATAAGCCACATGAAATACATTCATTCAGACATTCAAGATGCACTGATGCATCACTTTTGATTTGGTTTAACTTGTTTTTTTATAGAGTCATCCACCAAAATGATAAAAGAAGAGACTTTGTCAGGCAGCCTAATAGCACTGGCTATTTGTATATGATAGAAAACTATTTTCCAGCTGTGTCATCTTTACAAAAAATACACACAGAGGGCAAGGCCTACCAAAGTTCAGGTGTTTCAAAACAAGCTGACTGGACTGTAAATTACCTACTGACCTTGTACTAACAACCAAGTTCCAAGCACTAGGCTGCCGTGAACTCTTCAGGGTGCTGAGGAAAAAGTGCACTCCTATGGACATTAGAAACCAAAAGAAAATTGTGAGCATTGACCAGTCTTGTACCCATGCTGTTTTCCACAGCAAGAAAATAATTTAATGCCTTTTTCTTTTTGCTTCCCTCTTGCATCACCTTTTTTTATTCACCCCTCTCTTCCTCCCTGCTTATATTTCTTGCTTTGCCCATTTAAATAAGATGGGTTCAGAGTACTTGGTCCATTCAACTTGTAGAGGCGATGACAATACATACGTATTTGTCTACTTTTAAACACAGACAAAACCAGTAAGAAGGACAAAATGTAAATGCTAGCATCCTCCAAATTCAGAATCAACTATGAATAATGATACAACCTTAGGGAAAGCAAAAGATGTATCTGTCTTTGCAGGCGCAAGTTGCCTTTGAAGGTACTTCAGTGCTTTAAAACTGTCAGTAAGCCTCTGTATGTTTCCACTTATTACCCTTCTTGTTACCATGAGGTGGAAGACCAAAATTATATGTTTGTATCTATTTTGGTTAGCATTTAGGTAAACTTCAAAAACAAATGCAAATGTAGAAATAAGGCACGAGTGTGTTTTGTAAGATTTCCTGTATTGACCCGAGGTTTCATTGAGGTCTGAGGGTTCACCAAACATAAAATTTACCAGGCTTCCAACTCCAGAGAAGGAACTTATGGGATCAGGATAAGGAAGGGGTATCCTGGGTCAGAGTGCCCCACACTGGTACTAAAATTGCTAGAAATTGAAGATGTGTCTACTCTGAATGCATCTGCTAAGACCAGGAAATATACCTTTGGTCAACCACACATCACATATTTCCCTGTAATCAAAGCCTTCTGAAGCCCAGTAGACAGTTTCCCTCCAATGCAGCCAGCAGCAATCTACTGACCTCCTCAAACCAGCCCCTTGTTGTGTGGAAACCCCACAGCCTTGAGAAACAGAAAGTTGGTGGTTTGAATTTTCAATTTTTCTACTGTTTGAGTCAGCCAAATATATGTAACATCAGTACAAGGCAACTCAAAATGTGATACGTAAACAAGTACCAGGCTGAATACTGTCACCCGTCTACCACAGGACCAACTACAGGCAAGCATTTAGAATCTGTTTCTGAACTATATTTTCCACAAGTCTTATCAGCAGATTTATGGGTTTCATGATACAGTAGGAAGCACTTCTGTGAAGTTTAGAAATGAAAACAAGAAAACAGTAGCTATTCACAGGCAAAAAGCATTAATAAGGAACAGAAATGAAGGTTTTGACAGTTCTCCTAAAAGCAGCACCCTTCAGTATCCTAAGAGCCTGAGACACTGACCATAACTAGGCTGTACTTCCTGTACTCCCAAAATTCCTACAAAAGTCAACAGACTCTCAAGTACTTCAAACAACTGGATTAACCTTTGGTACCTTGCATTAAATCCCTCCCTATTGAAGGTACTCCGGGCTTAATATTTTTAGATGAAACAACTTGAATGTCGTTAATCTAAGGATAGATTAACAAATAATGTAAAATTGACAAATAACCTACAGATAGATCAGCAACATGGATAAATTTCAAAGTGTTAACAAAAATTTGAGAAAAAGAAAGGACCAGAAGATTTTATTCCCTTTAGGTAAAGCATGAGAATTACTAAAAGCAGAGTTTGAGCCACTGCCAGCTGCAGTCGCACACTGGCTTCTCTCCTCTCCAACTTGGCAAAAAGAAACTGAATGCTGCATGTGCTGTTTTCCAGAACTACAGGAGAAACAACTATGCACTCCCCAAACCGAATAATTTATCAAGGTAACTTTATAGCCATTTATTCTTATCATAGATGCATTTCATGTCCTTCCTAGTGATTAATTTTTATTGTATTCCATAAAAGTATGTCAATAATGAACTAGAAAATTTTGTTAGCAGTTTTAATTTGAGAAATACTCCCTAAAAGATCCAGTTTTGCTCTTCATCATGAGAAATAGCTTTTGATATGAGCAAATGTAGCAATTTCCGTCATTGCCCAAATTGTTGCATATGTGTCTAGGTTTGGTGTTAGTGGCTAGCTTATGGCTTTGTTCCTTCAATTCATCCAGGTCCTCTGGGAAGCAGAAAACAAGACAGGATTAGAAATAAAAGAGATTTATTGGGGCAACTCCAGAATGGAAAAGAAAGAGAGAGAGACAGAGACAGAGACAGAGACAGAGGACAGTGAAAGCAACAAAACTGCTCAGACTGAGCCCTGAGAAGGAAGAAGGGAGAGCAAGAGGGAGGACAGGAGGAACAGAAGGAGAAAAGAACAAAGCAAGGAGGTGGGAGGACTAAGAGAGGGCAGGGAGGGAGAGAGCAAAGTAGGTCTTAGAATACAGAGCATTTCCAGGTAGGTATGGTGCTGGAGGCCTGTGTCTCAGCACTTGGTAGGTAGAAGCAGGAACATCAGGAGTACAAGATCTCCCTCGGTTACACAGTAAGGGCTGGGCTACATGAAACTGTATTCTTATAAACAAAGCAAAATTAAAAGCAAAAAGGAACGTAGAGCATTTCTAAGCAAATTCAAAGCGGATGGCATAAAGTTAGACCTGGGCCACCACAGGAGTTCTCTAGCTCCCCAAAATGGAACTTTGTATTCTTGTGGCATTCAGTTATTAGCTAGGAACAATAAAAAAGTGGGACTTTAGTACTACTTTTAAAATCCAGTGATGGATTTCAAAGCAGAACAGCTGGTGCAATTGTTCAATGACATTTTCTGCAGTGAGGTCTAAGAGGCTCGTTTTTGTTCCTCTCACACTCCCATTAATTCTGCCAAGGGGAAGTGACCTCCTTCACACCTGTGTGAAATAAAATTCATCTTTTGATCCCTCTCTTTCCAGTTACTCCTCTGAGCTTACTGAACTGGTGAGATCCAGGAAGGCCTGACATGTACTACTTCAGTTAAACTACAGATAACACCACAGCACAACAAAAAGAAAAGAGTTGTTTATTTTTGTCCTGCAAACAATTTGGAAAGCATCTGTGTTGTCCTTTAAGCTACTAGATTATTGGCTATGAAAACTTTACTCTGTCTTAACTTTAAAACAAAAAGCTTCATTCTACAATTGAGATATACAGGAAAGTTCTCATTTAGAGGGTTTGGATAAAGGTTTTGTGTATATTCTTATTTATATTTCTTATGTGAAGAAAATTAGAAGGTATGGATGAGAAGGAACATATTTAAGCAAAGTATCTACATTATTCTGAATACAATGCATGTTCTCTAATGTTCACATGTTTCTCACTGCTTAAACCAGTGTCTAGTAGCAGCTATTCAACAATTACCAGCAGGGATAGCGTTTGCCATTAGAATAAAAGTAGCAGCCAGTATTCCACCGAGAACCATGCTTGCAGCTGAAGACAGAATATCTGTACTTAAAGAGCACAGAGAAGTGAAACATAGTGATAGGAGCATTCACTTTTGGCTTCATAGCAAAGTAAGGTGAATGCTTTGCTAAGATGTTATTTGTAGAGTTCTCTTTATGTATGCAAGTCTCTAATAGATCAACCCGGAAACAGTGACAAAGCTTCATTTGTCAGAATGGTCATTTCATTGTAGGATACCAGGAATGATTTCATTAAGAAGCTATGAAGAGAATGAAGTCTAGAGAGCAGCTCAAGAGCTACCATCAGCATGAAGACCCATGACGGACCTGGGTTTTCATCACTGGCAAATTGGAAAGCTTTTACTTCATCTAGTCTAGAGGAAAAAATTGTAAGTAGAGAAAACTAAAGAAGAACTTAAGGGATCTTGGGTCTAGGTGCCTTTGTGCTGCCAGAGAGTTCCCAATTAGCCTGGTAAGTTAGTCAGATTCTGCCCACTGGGTCATCATCCCCCTGCTTAGGGGCCAGCCCTGTTTCCCCTATTCCAAGGCTCACATCTACACTACCGAACTAGTTAGGACCCACACACTTGGCCACCATCTTCCTGCTTCAGGATTATGCTCGTTCACACTGCTGGAGAGCTATAGGGCTACCCTGCCTACAACCATCACATTCCTCCATAAAAAAATCAAAAGTGAGAACCTGAAGCACAGATCAACTAACTATTTATAACTGACCAAAACACAATCAAGCCACATCAACAATAAAAACAAAATCAAACGTAAACTCAACACAGACAGGCTAGAATTTCATATCAAACAAAATCAAGAAAAGAAGTACATATGCCCAGGTCATAACATAAAAACACAAATAATATGAAAAGAAAACAAGATAAATCTTACCATTCCTAAAGAAGTGTTCTACAATGAAAACCCCAGGACATATAACTTAAAAGTGTGATCATAGAATTCAAGCTTTTTTTTTCAGTCTTCTTGAGACAGGGTTTCTCTATAACCCCAGCTGGCCTAGAATTTGCTATGTATACCAGGATGACCTCAATCTCATAAAGATCCCTTTGCTTCTGTCTCCCAAGTGCTGGGACAAAAGGCAAGGATTTTAAAGAACACACAACTCAAAGAACTCAAAGAAGAGAGGAATAAACTGAGCTCAAGAAAGTACAAATATACAGCTGAATGAAGTGATAAGGGCAATTTAGGATTTGAAAGTGAATTCACAAAAGAGATAGAAATAAGGGAAAAAAACTCAAGCTGAAATGAAGATGGAATTGAAAACTCAATAATACAATTTGAAATGGCAGGAGAAAGCCTCACCAACAGAATTTCTCAATTAAAAAAAGAATATAAAAACGGGATGATAAAGTTGAAAAATTGAATCACTCAAGCAAAGAATATAAAAAAATTAAAAACACAGTAATGAAATATTCAGGAGCTGTGGGGCAACATGAAAAGACCGAATCTACATATCATAGACATAAAAGAATGAGAAGAGTCTCAGATCAATGGCATTGATCATATCTTCAACAAAATTATAGAAGAAAACTTCATTAAATTAAGGAAAGGCAATACTCATACAGATACAAGAAGCAGACAGAACACTGAGCAAACAGGACCAGAACAGAAACTCCACATAACATATCATAGTAAAAACACTAAATGTACAGAATAAAGAGAGGGTACTGAAATCTTCTAGAGAAAAGCAACATATTACTTATGAAGGAGAACACATCATAATTACAGCTGACTTTCCAAAGCACATGATAAAAGCCAAAGAGCATGGAATAAAATATTCCAAGTTCTGGGGCTGGAGAGATGGCTCAGGCATTAAGAGTACTGACTGCTCTTGTAGAGGACCTGGGTTCGATTCCCAGAACCTATATGACAGGTAACAACTGTCTGTAACTCCAGTTCCAAGGGATCCAACACCCTCTTCTGAGGGCATTGCACAACATAGGGGCACTTGTATACATGCAGGCAATATACTCATACACATAAAAATAATAAATAAAATGTTTAAATATATATATTTAAAAATATTTCAAGTTCTAAATTATCATATATACCAACCCAGAATACTTTACCCAGCAAAAATGTCTGCCATAGTTGAAAGAGAAAGAAAAATCTTCCATGATACAAATAGCTGAAAGAACTCATAACCTTCAAATTAGCCCTATAGTGAATACTCAAAGCAATCCAAAGGACTGAAGAAAGGAATGACCATACCCAAAAGGCACAGAAAGTAAACAAATGGAAATAGGACTAAGAACAGAAAAAAAATGACAGAAACCAATATATATCATTCAATAATAACCTTTAAATATCAATGGCCTTAACTTCCAGTCAAAAGACACAAGCTAGTTGAATGGATAAGAAACACAATCCATCTTTTGTTGTCTACATGAAGCTCATCATCTTTGAGGACAGGTACCACCTTAGGGTGAAAGAATGGAAAAATATTCCAAGCAAATGGCACTAAGAAACAAGGAGGCATTATTATTCTAATAGCTGACAAAACAAACCAAAAATTAGTCAGAACAGCTAAAGAAGGTCACTTCATTCTGATCAAGGGAAAAACTGAGCAAGAAGACATTACATATATGCACCAAACTCTGGTGCACTGAATTTCATAAAAAGAGTACTATTGGACTTCAAGACACAGATTAACCCCAGCTCAGTAATAGTAGGTAGTCACCTACTAACAGAGAAACATCTGAATTAAATGGGTCCTAATTGGAAAATAAAAGATCAAACTGTCCCTATTTGTAGATGATATGATATTATACATAAGAGATCCCAAAATTTTCACCAGGAAAATTCTAGAAATGATCAACACTTTCAGCAAAGTGGCAACATACAAAATCAATTTACAATATTCAGTAACCTTTCTATATACCAATAAGAAGCAGAAAAAGGGTTCATGGAAATTCCCATTCATAACAGCCTCAAAAAAATCTAGGAATAAACATAATCAAAGACATTAAAGACCTCTACGGTGAAAACTTTAAATCTTTGAAGAAAGAGATTGAGGAAGACACAAGGAAATGGAAAGACTTCCTGTGCTCATGGATTGATAGAATTAATATTGTGAAAATGACCATCCTACCAAAAGTAATTTATAGATTCAATGTAATCCCAATCAAAATCCCCATGACATTCTTCATAGAAATAGAAAAAAAATCCTAAAATTTATATGGAATCACAATAGACCCCTGATAGCCAAAGCAATTCTGAACACAAAGAGCAATGCTGGGGGTATCACCATACCAGATTTCTAACTATGTTACAGAGATATTATCATAAAAACAGCATGATATCGGCACAAAAACAGCCATCAGTGGAATAGATCAGAAGACCCAAACATGAGTGCATGCAATTCCAGTGACCTGATATTTGGCAAAGTGCCAAGAATACACACTGGGAAAAAGAAAGCATCTTCAATAAATTGTGCTTGAAAAACTGGATCTGCACATGTAGAATGAAATTAGGCCTATATCTATCACTCTGCACAAAATTCAACTCAAAATGTATCAATCAACCTCAATGTAAAACCTGAAATGCTAAAACTGTTAGAAGAAAATATAGGCAGTACCCAACAATGTATAGGTGCAGGAAGGGACTTTCTAAGTTGGGCTTCAGGAATTAAGATTAACAATTGACAAATGCACCTCATTAAACTGAAAAAATTTCTGCACAACAAGGGAAACAACCAATTGAGTGAAGAGGAAGCCCACAGAGTGGTAGAAAATCTTCACCAGCTATACATCTGACAAAGGATTAATACCCAGAATATACAAAGAACTCAAAAAATAATCAAGAACACAAATGATCCAATTAAAAAGTGAATTATGGATCCAAACAGAGAGCTCTAAAAAAAATTAAAATGGCCAAGAAATACTTTAAAAGATGTTCAACATCCTTAATAATTACAGAAATGCAAATCAAAACCATTTTATTTCATCTTACCCCAGTCAGAATGGCTAAGATCAGGAAAACAGATGACACCAAATGCTGATGAGGATGTGGGGAAAGGGGAACACTCATTCACTACTGGTGGAATCACTGTGGAAATCACTGTGGAGAACTCTCAACAAACTAGAAATGAATCTACCATATGATCCAGTTAGACAACTCCTTGTCATATACCCAAAGGACTCAGCATCCTGCTGCAGAAATATTTGCTAAGACACGTTTGTTGTTGCTTTTTTCATGATATCTAAGAAATGGAAACAACCTAAATGGCAAATGGATAGTGAAAATGTGGTGCATTTCAGTGGTGAAGAAAAATGAAATCATGAAATTTGTAGGTAAATGGATGGAACTAGAAACTGTTATACTATCTAAAGTAACACAAACTCAGAAAAATAAGCAATGTATGTTTTCTCTCATTCATGGATCTTAGCTCCAAACCCTTAGGTGTGAATATATATCCTGATGTAACTACAAGAGCCAGGAAAATGGAATGTAACCTTGGGAAGTGGGGTAAAAGGAAAAAGGAATTCAAGTTAGGGGGTCTAATATTAGGCAGGTGTTATCAAGGCGGAAATGGGTAAAGCAGGGGATACTTTAACTGGGGAGCAAATAGAGGGATATACGGGGAAAAGGGTATAGGTAAATAATGCTTAGGTGGTGAGAAAAGCCAGAGGGAAATGTATTAGATCAAAACCCTACTGAACAATGCACACACATTGTATATATACATGAGTGTGTATAGCTGAAGGTATAGAACAACAACAAAACAAAAAGCAAACAAAAAACAGTGCCTGGTAGGGGAAACCTCCCTTCAAGTTGTTGGTCAGGGTAGCCCTACAGACACCCAAAACAACACAAGATATTGCCACAGCCCTTGGTTGTCTTCCAGAACTTGAAGACAGTTCATAATTGCTGAAGACAGGTCATAATTCAGACACAGGACTTGGAGCAATGGAGATAAAACAGTTCTGGAAGTCTCCTCCCTGAAGACTAGCTCCTACAGTATCAAAAGATATTATGTAAACTGCCAAGGAGGAAAAAACTTCTATCCTGTTTTAAGTCTATGAAACATAATAATGACCTCTAGCAAATTATCTCTTTTGGTGCAATAGTGACATTTTATCTTGGGGGTAATCAACAATTATCTAATAGGACTTAAGACCCACTCAATAGGAGACACCTCACGTGTGGTACTGTAAACATAACCAAATACACACAGCTAGAAATGTCATAGTTCCTAGAGAAAAATCTTTTGTCACATCCATAGACTTTGTATGTATCCTTATATTTACAGACAAATGTACCTCTCACCATTCATGAAGGAAGCTTCTTTTTACCACAGATGGAGACTATTACAGAGTTCCACAACCAGTCAAACTCAGAGAATAAGTGTCTATGAGGTGAATCTACATCTACACTGCAACCTCTGTATCTAAGGCTCAGAGAACATAGGGGAACAGGGGAAAGAAGGAATATTAATGCATCACTCAACTCTCACCAACAAAACATCCTCATGTAACAGATGGTAATTAACCCAGAAACTCACAACTGGTCAAAATGCAGAGAATAAGAGATTACAGAGTGCTTAACCCTGATATCAAACTTCTGCCTCCCAAGGCCCAGGGACCATTGTAGAAGAGAGGATGGAAAGATTGTAAGAACCAGAGGTGGTGGATGACCACAAGAAAACAGAGTGTTCCAGGCAGCTAGGAAGTTACTCATATGAATTTATAGCAATGGTAACAGCATGCACAAGATCCATGCAAGCTCAGTACAGACAAAAAGTCAGCATAGAAGTGGGGAAGTGGGGAAGAAGCTCCAACCATCACTGAGAAACTATTTTCAACCAATAACTGCTGGGAGAGGGAGGGTTGGTTTTCTTCAAGGTTGTTACATTAGGTAGGTTAACCAGGCTCCTATGGATAGACACATGCAGAAGGACATTTGAGGATACAAATTTGGTTCTATAGGCCTTAACATATATGACAGAGTACATGAAATCCAGCTGAGGGCCTGTAAGAGGGATGCAGTGATTTAAATATTATAAAAATATGTTGCATGAAATCCCCACAATTCCATTTTTTACAAAATAATTTAAAGGACTGGAGAAATGTCTCAATGTTTAAGAACACTGGCTGCTCATGCAGAGGACCTGGGTTCAGTTCCTAGCAATCACATGGTGGTTAACAACCATCCATAACTCCAGTTCCAGGAACTCTGACACCTTCTTCTGGCTTCCATGGAATTTCACAACATGGGTGCCCTTACATACACACAGGCAAAACACTCATACACATAAAATAAAGGTAAATAAATATTCTTTAAAGCAAAGAATTCAAGAATTAACTCACCATGGAAAAATTCAAATTAACCTGCTTTTTATTTATTGTTTTGTCTTCAGATTATCTTCTGATAGTCATTAAATGACAAAGAAAATTTGCTTGAGCCATTTAAAGCATAATAAACATTGAATCTCAAAGACATGGGCCTGGAACACATTTTCAGATGGTAGCAGCCTGTGGACAGTGTGCAGAAGTGTCAGCCCTAGTCTAAACATAATTTCCACCAACATTAAGGAGAGCAGCCAGGAAGCACTTTCAAAGGAACTTTCAAGGCCATCTGAAATCAGTCTTCTTTGAAGAAAATTATCCTGAAAAATGGAGTGTAGCCAAGGCCATTTTTCCTGTTCTGCCTAGGAACAATGTGATGTTTTTAACGGGACAAGTAGTATATTACTCAAGTCAATGAGGCATATATCACTGAAAAGTCTACATCTTTATGTGATAACAGGTCCAGCTACATAAAATGGAGAAATACGGTGTCTTTTTATTACATCTCCTAACAACAAAGTATTCCCATGAATCCTAAATCAGTAAAAGAATTCTTTTAATGACCAGCAATTCGCCCCAAAACCTAATTAGGATGATTACTTAGTAAATCATCTAGTACCCTAAGAGGTGTTTTGTTTGCATAAACGGATTCCTACACATATGTAGAGGCTCCTTAAATCCTATGACGTACAATTACAAGCAATGAGGGCAAAGCCCAGAAAGCAGTGTAAAGATGGAATATGAACATTTTCTGGGTCTTGATCCTTTGGCATAATTACAGAGACTCCAGTAATGTCATATTCCTCTTCAGGGACTTGGATTAAGAGTTTCTAACAGTGCCCCTGCCCCTGGAATACCCAGAAGAAATATTAAATATGTTAATTTTCAATGGTTTAATCAGGTCTTGTGTTTATACCAATTTATTTATTTAAAGAAAAACTTGTGGTGTGGATCCTTGTCCCCATAGCTATGGAAAGTTCCATCTACCAGATAATAAAGGAATTGGTTACAGAAGCTTGATACTTTGTACTATTAGAATGGCACTTTGCAATGAACTCACATACAAATAGATTTTATGGGCTAACATTCACAGCCATGTTACATACATGGAACAGGAATCCAAATTTGAACCTTGAAACACTGACTACAAATGAAAGAGAAAAGCTGTTGGTAAGATGTTTACAAAGAACTACTTTAACTTTCTAATTATATTATTTTCTTGTTTGTCCTTGAGAAACAGTTAAAGTCATTTACTTGTAAGATTTTTCCAGTTAAAGTGACCGTAGCTATAGGCAAACAACGAATTTTACTTAAGCTCTACACATGGG